GGTCATAGGGTAGCTCTATTTTCAACTTTTTGAGCAACCTCCATGCTGTTTTCCAGAGTGGCTACAACAGCTTGCATTCCCACCAACAGTGTAGGAGGGTTCTCCTTTCTCCACATCCTCGCCAGCATCTGTCATTTCTTGACTTGTTAATTTTAGCCATTCTGACTGGTGTGAGGTGGTATCTCATTGTGGTTTTGATTTGTATTTCCCTGATGCCTAGTGATGTGGAGCACTTTTTCATGTGTCTGTTGGCCATCTGGGTGTCTTCTTTGCAGAAATGTCTGTTCATGTCCTCTGCCCATTTCTTGATTGGATTATTTGTTCTTTGGGTGTTGAGTGTAATAAATTCTTTATAGATCTTTATAGGTTTTGGATACTAGCCCTTTATCTGTTATGTCATTTGTGAATATCTTCTCCCATTCTGTCAGTTGTCCTTTGGTTTTGTTAACTGTTTCCTTTGCCGTGCAAAAGATTTTGATCTTGATGAAGTCCCAATAGTTCATTTTTGCCCTTGCTTCCCTTGTCTTTGGCGATGTTTCTAGGAAGAAGTTGCTGTGGTTGAGGTCAAAGAGGTTGCTGCCTGTGTTCTCCTCAAGGATTTTGATGGATTCCTGTCTCACATTGAGATCTTTCATCCATTTGACTCTGTCTTTGTGTGTGGTGTAAGGAAATGGTCCAGTTTCGTTTTTCAGCATGTGGCTGTCCAGTTTTCCCAACACCATTGTTGAAGAGACTGTCTTTTTTCCATTGGATGTTCTTTCCTGCTTTGTCAAAGATCAGTTGACCATAGAGTTGAGGGTCTATTTCTGGGCTCTCTATTCTGTTCCATTGATCTATGTGTTTGTTTTTGTGACAGTTCCATACTGTCTTGATTATTACAGCTTTGTAATAGAGCTTGAAGTCTGGAATTGTGATACCACCAACTTTGGCTTTCTTTTTCAACATTCCTCTGGCTATTTGGGGTCTTTTCAGGTTCCATACCAATTTTAGGATTATTTGTTCCATTTCTTTGAAAAAAATTGATGATATTTTGATAGGGATTGCATTAAATATGTAGATTGCTTTAGGTAACATAGAGATTTTCACAATATTTATTCTTCCAATCCATGAGCGTGGAGCGTTTTTCCATTTCTTTGTGTCTTCCTCCATTTCTTTTATGAGCACTTTATAGTTTTCTGAGTACAGATTCTTTGCCTCTTTGGTTAGGTTTATTCCTGGGTATGTTATGGTTTTGGGTGCAATTGTAAATGGGATCAACTCCTTAATTTATTTTTCTTCTATCTTGTTGCTGGTGTACAGAAATACAACTGATTTCTGTGCATTGATTTTATGGCGTGACATTTTACTGAATTCCTGTATGAATTCTAGCAGTTTTGGAGTGGAGTCTTTGGGGTTTTCCACATAAAGTATCATATCATCTGCAAAGAGTTAGAGTTTGACTTTGTCTTTGCTGATTTGGATGCCTTTTATTTCTTTTTGTTGTCTGATTGCTGAGGCTAGGACTTCTAGTACTATGTGGAATAGCAGTGGTGATAATGGATATCCCTGCTATGTTCTTGACCTTGGGGGAAAAGCTCTCAGTTTTTTCTCTGTTGAGAATGATAGCCATTGTGGATTTTTCATAGATGGCTTTGATGATATTGAGGTATGTACCCCCTATGCCTACACTGTGAAGAGTTTTGATCAAGAAAGGATGCTGTACTTTGTCAAATGCTTTTTCAGCATCTATTGAGAGGATCATATGGTCCTTGTTCTTTCTTTTATTAATGTATTTATCACATTGATTGATTTGCAGATGTTGAACCAAACTTGCAGCCCAGGAATAAATCCCACTTGGTTGTGGTGAATAATCCTTTTAATGTACTGTTGGATCCTATTGGCTAGGATTTTGGTGAGAATTTTCACATCTGTGTTCATCAAGGATATTGTTCTGTAATTCTCCTTTTGATGGGGTCTTTGTCTGGTTTTGGGATCAAGCTAATGCTGGCCTCATAAAATGAGTTTGGAAGTTTTCCTTCCATTTCTATTTTTGGAACAGTTTCAGGAGAGTAGGTATTAATTCTTCTTTAAACGTTTGGGGGGAATTCCCCTGGTAAGCCATATGGCCCTGGGCTCTTGTTTGTTGGGAGATTTTTGATGACTGCTTCAATCTCCTTACTGGTTATGGGTCTGTTCAGGTTTTCTATTTCTTTCTGGTTCAGTTTTGGTAGTTTATATGCTAAGAATGTATCCATTTCTTCCAGATTGTCAAATTTTCCAGCATATAGTTGCTCATAATATGTTCTTTAATTGTTTGTATTTCTTTGGTGTTGGTTGTGATCTCTCCTCTTTTATTCATGATTTTATTAATTTGCGTCCTTTCTCTTTTCTTTTTGATAGGTCTTTCAAAGAACCGCCTCCTAGTTTTGTTTGTGGCTGTGGTTTTAAGGCCAGTTCAGTTTTCAAAGATTTTGTAGTGATATTCAAGCCTGTCCTGCATGTGCAGTACTAAGGCACCAGTCAGGTCTGTGCCATGGTCTCTGTAGTTCAGTTCTCGAAACCCCTGGTATGCTGCTTAAGGCCAGATCCACACGTGCACAGTCGAGGGGTAAGCTCAAGTTTACACATAACTTTATGGAATCCCTTCCTTGACTTCCCCCCTTTTTACACTCCCCAGATCCTAAGGAGTCATTTTCCTGGTCTGTTGGCTTGAAAGGTGTACCTTTAGTATTTCCACTCTGACATGCCCTTCCTGGGACTTAGTCTGCCTCTGAGGACAGATGGTGGGAAGATATGTAGAGTAAAAACAATATTGAGGGTTTACCACATACTTTTTGTATCACAATTCCTCTGGTTGAAAAGGATTTCCCTGTCTCAGATTTTTAGGTGCCTGCCCAGCTGCTGCCACCATCAGATTGTAGCTTTGGAGCTTGAACTTGCATGAGGACAGGGCCAAGAGAGAAAAACAACAGTGGATCCCTCCAAACTCCCGCTCTTTGTATCCTATGGGGGTCCTTCCTCCCACTCCTTAGAACAGAAAGAGAGGGCTTCTCTTAGAGCTCTGTCTGTGTCTGGTGCACAATTCTGGGATTCAGGCTTCCTTTTGAGTCCAGTCTGCGACATACAAGAGGAAAATAAACCCAGTAAACTCATAGCTGTGTTGGTTGTACTTTGAGTTTGGTTTCCATTCCCAATTTCCCATTACCTTTTACTTTTCAGAGGCCTCTGACAGCTGCTCTATGCATTCTGTTTATGGTTTCTGGATACATTCACTAGGAGATGGAGGGTGGGGTGTGCTTACTTCACTTAACCAAATTTTAAAGTTCATCTTCTAATATTTTTATTTTTTTCTCTTTCATTATTTTATATATGTTCTTTTTAATATACTGTATACAAGTCCTTCATTTTATATATATATATATAGGTATACACTATCTATATCTATACCTATACCTATATCTATATCTATATATAGACATATAGACATGTATTATACATGTTTTATGCCAGTCTAGGGCTTAACTTTATTTGATAAAGTCCATGTTATCAACTTTGGCTGTTATAATTAGTGTTTTTTTGTGTCTTGTCAAAGAAATCTTTTCCCACATGGATGAAGATTCTCTTCTATGTCTTCTTCTAGAAGATGTATATGGTCTATGATTCATCTAGAATTGCATTTTCCTATCCATGAAGATTGTATATTTCTCTATTTAGATTTTCTTTAATTTCTCTCTGCACTATTTTGTTCTTTTCAGTGTACAGGTCTTACACATTTTTCATTGCATTTCTTTCAAGCATTTTATGTTTCTATGCTATTGTAGGTGATATTTTAAAATTATTCATTGTTAGAAAATAGAAATAAAATAGATTTGACCTTATTATATTCCTTTTTATATACCTAACCAAACAAATATATTTAGTTTATGTTTCTGGTCACTCTAATATCTTATGGCTTTGTGCAACCAATTTTGCTAGAAGTACCTTTTACTTAGGAATTTTGTAATTTTTACTGTGGTTTCACATTTAATTGAACTTTCTCCATGAGGATTCTTTGAAGCCTAGGTTGAAAGTGGATTTCTGTAGAAGGTTTTTTGAGAACTTCTACGAGGTACCTGGGAGCATACCAACCCAGGATTATTTAAAGGTTTCGGTGTAGGGGCGCCTGGGTGGCTCAGTGGGTTAAGCCGCTGCCTTCAGCTCGGGTCATGATCTCAGGGTCCTGGGATCGAGCCCCACATCGGGCTCTCTGCTTGACGGGGAGCCTGCTTCCCTCTCTCTCTCTGTCTCTGCCTGCCTCTCTGTCTACTTGTGATCTCTCTCTGTCAAATAAATAAATAAAATCTTAAAAAAAAAATAAAGGTTTCGGTGTAAAATAAATAGTACAGTTGGAGTATGAATTCAGATCACAAACTTTCATAAGGGTTAACTTTTGATTAAAAAAGTCTTAGCGTCAAGGTTAAAATATGCAAGATACCCTGTTTTCTGTCATTCCTTTCCATCTTATTTTCCATGCCCTCTTAAACCCCACACCTCTGAGCCCTTCTTCACCTTGTGGTAACTTTCTGCTTGGATACCTGTTAATATGCCAAAGGTGAGCCCATACCAACCCTCCAAGATGTCTAGGAAATACAGATTACCTTTTCTAAAAACCACTTATCTCCACCTTTTCTGCACCTAGCCTTGGGCTTGGAAGTAAAAATATAACTGTACAAAATGCACATGTCCTGTCTTCATGGCACTCAGTTTGGGAGGAGGAAATAGTGACTTAATACTTATTAAGCCCTGTCTTGTGTCAGCCACCATCTTGGTGCTTTCATGTATGTCACTTAATCCTGGGGATGACCTTGGAGAGCTGGCTCTTTCCTTGGTATTTTGTGGATGGGGAAATCCAGGCCACAGGGACTGCAGGGGGCCAATGTGGCTCTAGGATTTGAGCCCCCTGTGGGAGCCTGCCTTTAAAGGGGAGGTAGAGTGACTGCCACTACAGCCTAGTGATCTGTTGTCACCTCATTCTCTCCTAGAGGCTGTGCATCCCTGTGTACTGCAAGTACCAGTTCTTTAAGACTCCGGTTCACAGAACGGAGGGGCGGCCCCATGGAATCCACATCCATTTCCAGGACATCAATGTCATCTTTCTTGGGGCAATGCAGCCCAGTGACCTGAGGGAATACCTGGAGGGGCCTCCCATGGTGGTGCAAGTTCATGACAGGGACCGCAAGTTAGAGGAGTATTCCCGGAAGCCCACCCTGTTTGGGGATGACCCCTTGGATGCATACCTCAACCTCCAGTCCCTCATCTCTCCAGAAGAGACAGAGAGCAACCCCTTTGAATCCCATAACAAGATATGGGACCCTTATGGGGTTGCCCAGGTCAGTTTTGCTGACCTTCTCCTCGGCCAGAAGTACTTGAACTTGGTTGTCCCCATCCACAGCTGTGAACCCAAGCCCAAACACCGTGGCCAGGATGGCAAGAGCAGGAAGGTTGTGGGGTTTCGGGTCCCCACAGATGGCTTCCAGCGCAATCCAATGCCCATGGGTAACTACCTTGAGGCCAACTCTCTGCTCAAGATGCAGGTGGACATCGCTGTGCCGCTGCAGGCCAGGGCTGAAGCCCCTGACCCAGAGCTTTCAGGTACCCAGTTTGGCCGCATCATTTTCGTGTTTGACTCTAAGAAGATCTCCCTCCTCTACGGCCTGCTGCAGGACATCACCATGATCAATGCCAAGGCCCTTGATCTGGAGGCCCACCCTATCAGGAACATCCAGCAAATCCTTTCAGCCTTTAAGATGCGGGTGAAGATCCAGGAAAGGCAGGACCTGGATGTGCTCACTGGCTTCCACCTGCTGGATGGGAAACTCCACCTTCTCATTCTGGAGGGCTTGGCTGACCAAGGCTTGAAGCAGCTATGGGACAGCCATCAAAGCCGGTAGGTGGGTGTTTTTTTGGTGTTTGTGTTTCATGTAAAAGTCATGATGTTTGGATGCTGAGTGAGTGGAGTGGGGAAATCTTTTTATTTTTTTTGGTAGGGGGATATCTTTTGAAGCCAGGCTCAGGTTTAGTGTCCTCATCTGTAAGAAGGATATGTTGATTCAGTTCCTTTTGGGGTTTATTATAGAACACTTCACAGGACTCCATTATTGACCTTGCTCACAGGCGGAATTTCTTGCCTTTGGATGAAGGGAAGACTTTAGGACCACGCAGCAGAAAGGGTGGTTCAGGAAAATGGGCCCTCCCTTCAGACTTCTGAGGGGCCTACTTGGCTAATAAGGAGAAGAAAATTCTGTATGGCCCTAAGATGGACACCACAGAGAAGTAGATTTCCACTCAGTCTAAGGAAGACCTATCTGACTATTTTGAGGCTGGAGAAGCTGCCTAGGCTGCAGAAAGTTCTCCTTCCCTGATGACCTTTAGGAATACCTAATTACTCCTCAGTGGAAATATTGTAGAGGCAATCGAACTTTTAGATTCTGGGCTGGAGCAGGTGGCCCCTTATGGTCCTTCAGTTCTTCAGTTTTGTCTTCATGACAATTCTCTTTTCCTTTTGTTATTTGCAAGTATCCTAGTTTGGGCTTAAAGGGCCTCTTTTCTTTATTTTTATTTTTTAGATTTTATTTATTCAAGAGAGAGAGAGAGAGAATGAGCTGGGTGGGGGAGGAGCAGAGGGAGAGGGAGAAACAGACTCCTTGCTGAGCCCCAACATGGGGCTCAGTCCCAGGACCCTGAGATCATGACCTGAGCTGGTCGGACACTTAGCCCACTGAACAACCCAGGCGCCCCAGTACCTCCCTTTTTGAGTTTGGAAACTACCCCTCTCTGTCTTCGGAGTTCAGATGCCCTAGAACCTAGACGCTGACAACAGCAAGTAGTTCTGAGGTTGAGTTGTATTCATCCAGGACAGGAGAGCAGCCCTGTGAGGCCCTGTCTTGATGTGTTGGTAAGCCAAGAGGCGCTGTGGAGGAGCTGGCATTGTGTCTAGTTATCCACCCAAGAGAACTGAAAACAGGTCCACACAAAAAACTTGTATGTGGATGTTCATGGCAGCATTATTTATAATAGTCAAAAAAGTGGAAGCGGGCACCTGGGTGGCTCAGTGGGTTAAAGCGTCTGCCTTTAGCTCAGGTTGTGATCTCCAGGTCCTGGGATCGAGCCCCGCATTGGGTTCTCTGCTCAGCAGGGAGCCTGCTTCCCCCTCTCTCTCTGCCTGCCTCTCTGCCTACTTGTGATCTCTGTCTGTCAAATGAATAAATAAAATCTTTAAAAAAAAAGTGGAAACAACTCAAATATCCCTCAACCAATGAACAAAATGTGATATATCCATAAAACAGAATAATATTCAGCCACAAAAAAGGAATGAAGTACTGATATACACACTTCAACATGGATGAACCTTGAAAACGTACTGAGTAAAAGAAGCCAGTAAAAGGCCATCTGTTGTATGATTCTGTTAATGTGTGATTTAGGGATAGGGCTTTGGTCTTGTCATGTCAGTTGATCTGGAGACTGAGATTGCCATGTGAGCAATCAAGCAAGTAATCAATCATGCCTCTGTAATGGAGCCCAAATAAGAACTCTACATACCAAGGCTCAGGGGAACTTCTATGTGCGTATTGTCCCTCAGCAATGTCATAAGGGCAACACATCCTGATTCCATGAGGAAAGAGCAGTGGGAACGTGGTGTTTAGAACCATTCTAAACTCTGCCCTATGTGTCTCTTCCTCTGGCTGATTTTTTTTTTCCCCCCTCTGGCTGATTTTAATCTGCATCCTTTCCCTGTAATAAGCTGTGAGTGTGAGTGTAACAGCTTTCAGTAAATTCCGTGAGTTCTTGTAGCAAATTGTTGAGCCTGAGGGTGGTATTAGGAGCCCCTTGAACTGGGGCTCCTGGGTGGCTCAGTGGGTTAAGGCCTCTGCCTTTGGCTCAGGTCATGATCCCAGGGTCCTGCGATCGAGCCCCTCATCTGGGTCTCTACTCAGTGGGGAGCCTGCTTCCCCCCCCTCTCTCTGCCTACCTCTCTGCCTATTTGTGACCTCTGTCTGCCAAATAAATAAATAAAATCTTAAAAAAAAAAAAAGGAACACCTTGAACTTCAGTTGGTATCAGAAGTCAGGGCAGTTTGAGAAACTATGACCTCAGACTTTGCAGTTTGGCTAAGTCGGGGATATGGTATGTATCTCAATGAACAGTTTTGTCCCAGTAGAAGAAAAATATAAAATATGCTCATGGACCCCAGTTCAGTGAAGCTACAAATAAAAGATCATTAACCAAGAAAAAAACTCACATGCTTGGAAATTAACAAATACTTCCAAATAACCAAAAGAGAAACAAATAGAAATTAGACATTATTGAATTGATCAATAATGAAAATAGTATAGTATCTAAATTTGTGGGGTGATGTTAGTGTTAGAGGAAACTTTATAGACTCAAATGCTTATATTAGAAAAGAAGAAAGGCTGAAAATTAATGATAGATGTTGCAGTAATTTAAATAAGTGTTTTAAACCGTGTCAAAAAATTTAAATTAATGTATAAAAAATTGCAAAGATAATATAAAAAGTATTTTCAGATAAGATAGTTTAATGAGGTTTCTGGATACAAACATTAATATAAAAATCTATTGAATTTCTGAATACCATCTATATACAAAAATCATTTAAAAAGTGAATGCTTTTAAAGTATTATAAAAATATGAAATTCACATGAATAAATTCAACAAAAAGGAGTAGAACATCTCTATCATGAATATTATAGGATTTTTAGAAACATTAAAGAAGACCTAAACAAGTGAAGAGACTACCATGTTCATGGATTGGAACACTCAGTATTATAGAGGTGTCAGTTATCTACAAGCCAGATGTATAAATTCAAAGCGATCCCAATTTTAAAAGTATGGAGCTTGAGAACCTGATTTAAAAATTTACATCATCGTGTGTATAAGAACAAGAACAAGATGGGAGAACTTGTTCTACTAAATATCAAGCCTCCTTATAAAACCATAGTGATTAAGAGAGTTTATTGGAACAGCGATAGACAAGCAAACATATGAAATATAATAGAAAATCCAAATACAGACCTCCGTGCCAGCAGCATAAGATGTGCGGCACTGGAAGATCAGCAGCAAATGGCTATATTAAAACCATTGAATTGTACACACGAAAAGGGTGATTTAGATAATGTGATACCACTTCACACTGGCCAGTTTGGCTGGAATTAAACATGTCCGATAATAGCAAGTGTTGACAAGGATGTGGAGAGCTCAGAATTGTCATTCTCTGCTGGTAATGAATTAGACGGTAGAGTCACTTTGGAAAACAGTCTGGCAGTTCCTCAAATGGCTAAAAAGAAATACTGTACGACCCAGCTGTCACCCTCCTAGGTAAATGCCCAAGATAAATGAGAACACATGTCCACGCTGGACAGTATATAACTGTTTATAAGAGCACTATGATAGCCATTAGGTGGAAACAACCCAAATGTTTATTAATTGATGAATGGCTAAACAAAATGTGACATATAAATACAATGAGCTGTTATTTGGACATAAAAGGAATGAAATACTGACTCACACTATAGTAAGTGAAGTGAAAAGAGACAGTCACGAAAGGCCACATATTGGATGAGTCCTTTATATGAAATGTCAAAAATAAGCAAACCTATAGAGACAGAGGATTAGTGAATACTTAGGGTTGTGGGTCAAGGGATGAGAGTATAGATGGGGGTATAGATGGGTACAGGTTTCTTTTTTAGGTGATAAGAAAGCTTGAAAATTGTGATGATGATTGCGTGTATCTATGAATAGACTAAAAATGATTGAATTATACACATTTTACACATTATGACATCTGAATTAAATCTCATTTGAGGGGCGCCTGGGTGGCTCAGTGGGTTAAAGCC